ACTGCAGATGACATGTCCTGGAGCTTGGGGCCTGAAGGAGCAGCAGGACCCCTGCAATCCAAACCTCTCCGCAAAGTCAGCAAACCAAGGCCCAGAGAAGGTAGGGGGCGGGCCTGTGGAAAGTGAGTTACCGTCCCAGAACCAACACCAGAATCTCTTATTTCCACGCCTATTTTCTTCTACATGACATGCAGTCATCACTGGAAGATATTTATTTTCACCTGTTCGTATACAACCAAACTTCAGCCTGTCAGAGTTCAATGTTTTTGTTCCCACTGTGACAGTCCCTGAAATATACTTATACAATATGGGAAACATTCAAAGGCCCAATCTAGATAAACTGCTAAAGAGAAACATCAGAAAAATATAATATGAATACTCAACCATTTGTTTCTTTGATTTTGAGTGATGACAAGAAATTTCCACTAAGTCAGTCAAATAATATACTCGTAAAATGTAAACAAATACTAGCTTTACAACCCCCTCTAGTGGGGACAAAATATCAAAACGTTTCCATAATTATATCCAACAAGGCAGTAAAAAAAAAAAAAAAAAAAAAAAAGAGTGAAAGGCTATGCAATGGAAACCTTATGTCTAAAATGCACAATTCCAAGCTCAAAGGAGCTTTATAATTCTATTAGAGGAGTACCAGTATAAAAACCAAGGGGGACTCAAACTGGGGTCGCCAGGTGCAAGTTTCTGTCTGCCATCTGCTAGTTAAACCACCTACCTTTCTACCCAAGATCATTTTGAAGGTTTCAAATATAGTATCACTACATGAACCAGCACCAGCAAGTATTCTCTTGATAGCACAGATTACCAAGTACTTTTGCCCCAAACCACCACTCCAAAATGCATACATACACACATAATTTTATTATCTAGAACCAAGCAATAATCACAGAGCTACCTCCCGTAACACTGCAGAAAGTACCTGCGTATCCCAGCTAATAACTGGAGATCCCAAATGACAGTCTACATTAAGCTTTGGCTTCACCAATAACTTTAAAATGTGTAACAATCATTCCTACCACAGTAACAGCTGTATTTCTATATCTGACAATGGCATCCCAAAACACAGTGACTTCAGGTGAAAAATATTTTGTAAAATCACATTGTCATATTATGAATGAGTTCATAAAAGGGCTTTTCCATTCTTCTTCTCTGTAGGTTTTTCCAAGTAAAAGTTGGCCTCAAATACTTTGGATAAGGTCTACTTAGTAGCAAGAAAGACCTACTGTATCAGTAGTTCTCAGATGGCACAGCGAGAAAATAATGTGCTCCAGTAAGTTCTAAGGTACATGAATAGTGACTGACAAAATACCATATCTCCATGATATCATCGACCTCACCCCTCTGCACCCTAATCTGTTGTGTTTACTGTGGGTTATGCATTTCTCTGTGATGCCTTGGCCCACATTGGGCAAACTTTTACCAATGTATCATTTAGAATTGTAACAATTTAGAGATGATGATAGTGCCTTACTTTCCTGCAAAATTCTTGGAGCCTTTTAAAAAATATATACATATATATATGGGTCTATTCATGGTGAGCTGTGGCTTGAGATTCCACTGGTCTAAATGTTAAATCTCTGAACATTAAATCACTTTGCTGAATCCTTTGTTTTGCAGAAGATTAAATGCATTCTCTCCATCTGCTCTTCAATGAAAACAATAAAGGGAAGAGGAATGGAAAAGGCAAAATGACTATCATAGAGCTGCTACTTAGGATGGCACAGAAGTTGGAATTTGACCCTGGCTTATTCAGATTTACGGGAAAGTGTGGACAAAATCCGAACTGACCCCAAAGCACCAAAATTAAACTCAGCTTGGTACAGTATGTTGTATTAGCAACTGACTGTTCATACCAGAAGGTCAAAATCAAGATTATTCTCCCATTTATGAGAGAGGATCTCAAAATCCTTAGCAAGGTGAACTATGAGTCAGATACAGCCTGCTTGGCCAGCCCTACCGCACATCCTCAGATACAGGCATTCCTCCTACGTAAGTGAACCGAATACGCAGTGATTAACCAAGCAGAGAAAGCCATATGCCTTAGCCCACTGCTAACGGTTATAATCCAGCCGGCAATCGGAAAGCTACCAACCAGGCAGGCAAGAAGAGACCACTCTTCTCTCTAACCCCTCAAGGCTGTGAACTATTCTGCTATTGTAAGGTCAGGGAGTGAGGAAGTTTAAAAAAGCTTTTGGATATGCAAACAAACTCAGATGTGATCAGCCAATTTATTGTTTTAATCTACAGTGACAAAATACACATACAGCTGAACTTTTATGAATAATTCACAATTTTTATTGCTGAAAATTGAAAATTCTCTAGACTCTGATCTTCTTCCCTTGAGGTAATTCACAAAAAGCCACTTTCTATCCACATGAAACACGTTTTATTCACCTGAACCACAATCATCATGTTAGAGTCAAGTTATCTACATGTCCTTTTCTTCCACTCTGCTAGACACACTTATTCTTAGGTACGTCCCCTCCTGGGAGCTCCTTGCCTTGGAAAATCCCTACCCCAGCACATTATCTATCCAGACGGGATCCCAATGGCTATTTCCTATGTTATCTAGAATAAGTTCCTTCCTTAACTAATGCCCCTTTAAAGCTTTCACCACACAATACACTTGGCAGTAAATTCTAATACCCTTCCCATCTTTCTGGTATCTTTTCCAATGGAAAAAAAAAATCACCTATTTTTTTCTTCTTCCTTAAAGTCAACTATAATAACTACTTAAACTGATCCTCGTAAAGAATCCCAGTAGCTACATTCCAGCCAACTCTCCAAAGCCATCAGGGTCATGAACACCTCATGCTATGAGTTCACAAAGTAACAGAAAAGTTCTCATCCCCATCCTTGCCACAACAGTTGTTGTGAAGGGCCCTGTCAAAATCCAAAAACGGCACCAGGGTCACAAGCTCCAAAGCCCTCAGAGACCTGACAGAGAATTTACGAGGGCAAAGCTGGCAGGTCCAAAAGCTAAGCCCGTGTCTGCGTGATAGGCGGGGACTGCGGCAGGCCGGGAAGCGGGGCCGTTTCAATCCAGCCCACCTGCTGCATTGTGCAGACACAGGCCGCATGTGGCCAGGGCTTAGGACGTCTGAAGACAAGACAGAAATTCTGAATTGTTATACAAAATTTTCCGATCTTTAAATAGAGAGTCAATATTTTAAAAAACACTATGCAACCGAACAATACATGTCTATGGATAACGTCCACTGAGCTGCCAGTGTTCTATCTCTGCCCTACTCCACTGCCAGCCACATGTGTGACTGACTCTTAATCCTTGCTTTGTATTAACACTAATGATCCACCGAAAATATTAAAAAGGATTATTTTAGCCCTGACCAGTGTGGCACAGTTGGCTGGAGCATTCTCCTGTACACCAAAGGATCACAGGTTCAATTCCCAATCAGGGCATATATCCAGGTTGCAGGTCCAATACAAGAAGGCAACCAACTGATGTTTCTGTTTTGCGCTCTCTCTCTCTTCCCCGCTCCACCCCCTACCCTCCACCAACCCCATCCTCTCTTTCTGAAAGTAATGAAAGTAATGTCCTTGGGGGAGGGAAAGAAGGAAGGAAGGAAGGAAGGAAGGAAGGAAGGAAGGAAGGAAGGAAGGAAGGAAGGAAGGAAGGAAGGAAGGAAGGAAGGGAGATTATTTAACATATTAGAAAATGGGTCATATCAAGCATAGACTCAATCCAAAAGAAGCCTGTTATCACAGCCAGTTAAGAAATTTGACTCACACTAAAAATAGTCCTAACAAATAAACTGACTTGCACCAACTGCCACTATTACTATTGCTACCATTTACTGAACAGTTACTAGGTACCAATTCTGCTAACACTATGTATATATATAAAATCTCCTCCACTGACTCCTTTTCTACTTTAGTCTATTTACCACACAGCATTTAAAAAGATATTCCACAAATATGATCAAATATCATTTTCTTGCTTAAAATTCTCCACGGGTGCCCTGGACAGGTGGCTCAGTTGGTTGGAGCATCAACCTGTCCTGTACACCAAAAAGCGGCAGGTTCCCTCCCTGGTCAGGGCACATACTAAATGTGGGTTTAGTATGGGTTCAATCCCATACTAAATTGTGGGTTCAATCCCAAGTCGGGAAGTGTAAGGGAGGCAACCAATCGATGCTTCTCTCACATCAATGTCTGTCTCTGTCTCTCTCTCTTAAATCCATAAACATATCCTTGGGTGAGGATTTAAAAAGAATTCTCCACTGGCTTCCCATTGCTCCTAGAATAAACTGGGAGCATCTTACCATGACCAAGGTCTGGTCCCAGCACCACTTTGCTCTCTCTCCAGCACTCACCACTTGCTCACACAATCCCAACACCACGGCCTCGGCTGTTCCACAGACATACAGGGTCTCTCCCTGATTCTGGGGCTTTATGCTTGTTGGCCTAGAATATTCTTCCTCGGGCCTCTGCAAGGCTCCTCCTTGTCGTGAGTCAAGCCTCAGCTCAAACATTTCCTCCTTCAAGAGACCTTCCCTCACCAGTTCCCTACCAGTTGCTTTAATATAACCCGATTGTGTTTCTCTATCAGTGCTAAATTATCACTCCCTCAAGGGACTGTATTCATCCATTTACTTGTTTATGGTCTGCCTTCACTAAGATGTACGCTACCTGAAGCAACGAACCTTGCCACACTCGGCCAAGCCAGTGTTCCAAGCAACTAGAACCTAGGCACCTGCCTCCAAGGCCGGCCACTGCCTTCTGAATGAAATACCATAAAGAATCTAACCGCTTATCTAGTGGCGTCACTCAGGATTGTGATTTACTCTTGTCTCAAAAAAGGAAACATTCCACTCCTCTATCTCTTAGAAGTACAAATACTGGATCAGGTTTTAGAGGTTAAAAAATTGTAAATTCCTTCAAAATGACACAAGAAGACATACTTTTGATCAGGAAATAAAACTGTTTAACATTGGGCTTAGAGTCTTGCTTTCTGAGCAACTTACCTCTTTCTCCCTTTCATAATCTTCCTTGTCGTATTCTTCATCTTCGTTTTGAGTCTGCAGTGCCACACTGCCAAAGTCTAGTGACATGGTCCTCCTGCAGGACGAGAAAGAAGTGGTGTGAAAATATCCCCCAAAATCTCACCAGACCAGACTACTCAAGAGATGCCACACACAGAGACAGCAGCAGCCTGGGGGAAGATAGTTGCGGCTCATGTATGACAAATGGTTAGTATTCCAAATACAAAACGAGTTCTTACAAATTAATTGATTCCCAGAAAACAGCTATATGACAGCATTTCCTAGAAAGATATGCAAAAAGCTAATAAACCGATGACTAGACCTTTCTAGTGTTCTGGAAAATATAACTCAAAACAGTAAGACTTTTGTCCATGCAAAAAAATAATAATAAGCTAGAAATGTGCCAAAATGTAAGAATTTTAAGATTATGCTCAAAGTTCCTAATTTTATATATTCAGTATGGCACAGGGAACATCCTCCACCATTGGCTTCATTCATCCTTTGAATGTCAGAAATCCAAATTTCATGTTTTACAAGAAGGAGCTACTAAACCCTGAGTGAATGACTGCCACCCAAAAACCATTTACAATCTGGAAGACTTCACGTAGCATACAATGAAAATATAAGTGATAAATGTCCTACTCTTAAACTTGATAAAATCAGGTTCCAGAGGGGAAAAAAAGCGCTCCAGAAAAACAGAAGTGAAGGCTATGAAGCGGTACCCCTGTGGAGTTCCCATTCCAAAAGCCACAGCAAGACTTCCCTGCTGGATGGGAACTGCTGGGGCAGAAGCAGCAGCAGGAAACGCGTTTTCAAGTCCTTACAGTCAAAAGGCTCCCGATGATTTGAATTACAGGTAGGGACCCTGACGCCACCCAGAATCTACGACTCAGAATTTCAAAGCTCTGAACAGTCCTGACAGAAAAGGGGGCCGGCGTCCTCAATTGCCCTGCTACTGCCCTCCATTGAGCCCCCACTTCTGCTTGCCAGCGAAGTGCACTTTGATGTGAGCGTGGGCCACAACTCGTCCGCTACACTTGTCAGGCTCTAAAACGCCCTTACATTGGGAGAGAAATAAGGAACACAGACCCAGCCATGCAAAAGCATTTCTCCACAAAGAACTCAACTCTTTTATGGTAACAGTTGAGAACTGTGATCAGAAACTTTTATATAACCCAATAGCTCTCTAGAAAAAGATATTCCACTTCATCAGCTCTAAGTCGCCCTTGATTGTATGACACAGTTCCATGTGTACCACCAAGAAAAAGATGTAGCCAATTAAATTATGACACATCATTAATTTTAAAATGCAACCTGACTTTGTGGACGTTAATAATGTGCAAAGAAAATGTGCACTTTAGAGTAGGTGAGATAGGGCGTTACAGATTTACACAAATGTGACCTTCAATGCTGAAATCCCCACATGTCAAGTTTTTGTTTTTCACGAACTGAATTATGTTTCTTGGCCAAACTCTAATTTGCAGTCCACCTTTGTTAACCCTCCCGCTCTGATCCCTGCACCCTGCCCATCCCCTTCAACTCTATCAGCTGAACGCCTTGCTTCAGCTGGGAAGCCAGCCAGCCAGCCCCTGCGTCCTAGGCCAGACAGGCTCCTTGCTGTTCCTGTGCCAGAGCTCTGAGGACGAAGGGACATGTGCACACTTTCACAGAGAGGGAAAATATGTGCGTTTGAGTTTGGGGAATCTAAACCTTGTCTCCACCCGGCAGCTAACAGGAACCTGGTGCATGAGGTGGAGATCTGAATGTGGACAAGAGTCTGTAATTTAGCTGAAATGGGGAGGGGAAAACACACAAGCTCATGTCCACAGGTTTTTACCACCACTGCAAATGAAAGTCTACAGAATCTATAGAGAGTGAAAATACTAGTCCATTTAAATCCTGGCTCCTTAAAAGAAGTGAGATTAAGCTAGACCTTAAAGACAACCCTAAAGTCTCCAGGCATAAAAAATCTTTCGTGCTTTTGATTCTTTTAGTATTCTCCACATCTTCCTGCATTTTATAATTAAAGTCAGAAGATGAAATTTGGGTTAATTTCTCTTTTATTAGGTAAAAGAAAGGAAGGGTTTTCTTTTTAGTTTCTCACTAACCTGCCACTAATCTGTTGAATATTGAAAAGGAACATTAAGGTTTACAAAAGTCCACTTTTTCTCAGATAGAGAATAATGAATTCTACAAGGTATTTTCATTTTAAAGCGAAGAGAATGTAAAAGACTAAAGCATATCTTTTTCTGAATGACATTTTAAATTCATACCATGTCATTTTAGAACTCTGAAAAATATCTGAAAAGACCAAAAATCTCTCTCCATTAGGAAGAAAAGATACAAACAAGTTTTCCTTCTGAAAAGTGCAAACTACTGGAGACCTTAAAAAATGATTTTAGGCATAAAGGCAAATTTGATGAACATACTGTGGTTAAGAAAAAAGACTAAAAAGGTAATTAATATTTTAATTAAAATTTAAAATAAAAGCTAACGTTTTCCTTCAACTTATTAATCACTATTAATTAACCACTACTATCAGACTTTACTATAATAAACAATAAAAAAGATGCTTTGGAAAAAAAGTAGCAAGACAGTAAACCCAGAAGCCATAAAGGAAAAACTTGGCAGAAACTTAACCACAAAAAAAATTTTGTATATGACAAAAGATATCATTATTAACAAGTTAAATATCATGTATGGAAAAATACATCACTAACAAAGTCAAAAGATAAAATAACAATAATAATAATGAGAAATATATTTGCAAAATACATGATAAAGTCCCAATATACAGTTCTCACAAAGAATTTTTTTAAAAAATTTAAAAATAGGCAATTGACATGGCAATTCCACTTTTTAAAAAAAGAAACGTAAATGCACAAATACCTTGACGAGATGCTCATGCTCATGAAGAATTCAAAGTGTCATTTATATAATGAAATACACGAGTAAATTGAAAACACAAAAAAACACTCGATAACACCTACGATGGCTATTTTGTATGAAACAGATGTCCTCATGAATTGCTGGTGAAAGTAGGAACTGTGAAAATCATCTTGAAAATTACTAATATTAATATACTGAAAAAGAACATTTGCCCTAGTAAACACACTTTTGAATAAATTTGGCAGTACTATATCACTAATAAAAAGTAAATATTTTTATATTTGATTATTTTTTAAAAATCATGATGCAAAATAAGCCTACAATATGCTTTTTTAATAGTAAGCTAGTTAATACTTTCTTCCTAGGTAGTAACTTTTCTGAACCTATTAACAAGACTATGCTCTTTCCTTTTGTTACACTCAGATTGGAAGGGTTCAGCCTCAGTAGCCATTTTGTTGTCTCCAGTTTTGTTGTCTTGGCCCTCCCTGCAATGAGAAGGAAGGCCAATAGGTGTTCAGTTGGACAAAACATTAAAAAGCAGAAGTAGTATTGTTTTTGCCTCATCTGAGAGCCTACTAGCACTCTGAAGGCAGAAATTAAATGTATCTATCCCATCCTTTGGACATGAGAGGCAGGCCATGAATATTTTTTGAATGAATGTAACACTTTCATGTTGCCCTATATGGATTCATTATTGCAATAAAATTTCACTGAGCACCTACAGCGTGCCCGGTTATATCCTAGATATGCCTAAGACATGATACTAGCCATGGGGAGGTAACAGTTCCTTAGGGAAACAATGATATAAATTAATAGTTACAGTGATACATTGTAATAAATTCTATAGTAAAGTACCAAAGCTAATACTAACTGCCTAAGAAGAAAGGACTGCTGAGAGAAGTTTCACAGAAAGAAAAGACTTGATTAGAAAGATGTTCAAGGACACAATAGGGCTAGAAGTGGTTAAGACTGAGGGCATTCACTCAGACAACCTGGGCTCAATTCTGGCTCTTTATCAGCCAAGCGACTTTGAGCAAACTGTTTCCATTTCTTCATTAATAAAATGAGGGTAAAAATAGTACCTACCTCAATGATTGGTTATGAGGATTCACAAGATAATACATATAGAGTGCAATCAATACATTTTAGTTACTATTAGCATATTATTAATGATGAATAAGAGTCAGTCGGCTGCAAAAGAGGTTAAAGAAACAAAGAGCATTCAGTATATCTGAAAAAGGTGAAGGTTCAGCCTGTGGGAAACTTTCAAATAACGCAACCCCTTGAGATAAAAATGCCATGTCCTTCAAGACATGTTCCCCCAAGAAATTAGTCACTCTTTTGCACTTTTGGTCATTTTTCTTATTTTTCTTACGGCTTCAATTCTAGCCATAAGAAAATTCCAACGCAATTAGTTGAATGCATTCACACGTCTAGAGAGTGCATATAAATTGTCACACATTGTGAAGGATATGACGAAATTCAGTATAAATCTGAATTATAGCTCAAGTGTATGACTATAAGATAGAAAGGTTAAAGGCCCGAAAAGGGGTTTGTAAGAGTCCTGAGAGTTAGTATATTCTTATTTGCTTACATGCTAGCTTCTCTTGTAGAATGGAAATAGCCAGGCCACGCTAGCCTGTTTTAGACTTGCATTACCAGGCTTAGCAGGCCTATTCCTTCACTTAACAATTATTTACCTAGCACTATTCAAGATTACAAAGTTTAACAGGACTTGGTGGAAGGAAAGAAAATAAAGATACATAGAAATGATGACAATAATCTGTGATCAGTGCTAATGACAGCAGCGTGGACAAATCAATTGAGGGATCCCAGAGGGTGCAGCGAGAAGGCACCCACGGGCTGAAGGAATGACTAGATCAATGGCCTTACCAAGGAACTTCGTTTGGCGTCAGCTAAGGCCCAACAAGTAGGTACCACGACACCGAAGCTGCACAGAGCCCAGGATGCCGGGAATTGCTGGTTTTGGCTGCCAGCGTCACATGCACTCGGTCAACACACGTGCACAGAGCACCCACTGTGAGCGAGGCGCGCCGCCAGGGAGACCACGGAAGGGGTCCCCAGGTAGCGTCTCAGGGTTACCCCAGCAGCCTATAAGCTGCAAAGAGGGCCTCCCAGACGTCACTGCTAAACAAAATGACATTTCAAAATCAAAGGCTGAGACCCGCAACCCGAGGGCAATCCACCACCGCGGGATTTGGGGAGGGGGCGGGTCAGCCCTCCCGGAAGCCTCGCCCGAACCCAGGGAACCTCGCACCCCTTCTTACTCCACCCCCAAGCCCAACCGCGAAGCGAAACTCACCGGAGGCCACGGATGCTGTCACCGCGGGGAAATCCCTGCCCCGGCCGAAGTCCAGCTTCTAGCAAAACCCCCTTATCCTGGCTCTCTTCGGCCAGCTCCTTCCTAGTCACAACCGAACCCGGAGCCCTGAGGTTACTGAGGAGCAGCTGCCTCCTTCAATCGACCGCTAGAGGCTCTCCTGGTGGGCGGGACCATGCCGGCGTTGGGCGGGACGCGGAGACGAAAGTCTCCGCCTTGCTCAAGCTTGGTTGAGAAGTCCGCCTCCAGTTGCACATATAAGGCTGTTTAAAAGTGGGCGCCAGAGGTGGCGGGAAGCTCCTCCTGTGCGCCCATTGGTGGATTTGTGAGCCAATTACAAAAGAATTAACTCTGGAAAGGGAGGGTTTATCGGTTGCCTAGAGACACCCAAACACTTTGCCTCCAGCTTTCAGCTAGGAAGAACCAGTCTTGCCTGGGCCCCTTGTCCCTTCCCTCACCGCAAGATGTTGGAAACTGGTGCGGTGACTCTCCCCTCTCCAACCCCCCACCCCACGTTTGCCACTCCTAAACTCCGGCTCACAGGATTCCTCGCTTCCCTATAAAACCCTTACCTTGGAGTTTGGCCTTCTGACTCTCTAAGGTGCTTGCCTCCTCATCATCCAAACAGCTTAAATGTTTTGTTTTGTTTTGTGTCTGTTGTGTTTACTTTGCATCTTGCTTACTACGTCCCACCTTGTCTGAACTTGTGTTTACAGTGCATCTGTAAACACTGTGCTTCATTTTAACATTTAGCAAGATAACATTTACTAAGAACTGTCCAGGCCTTGACACCTTTGTCCTTTCTAACACAACCTCACCATCCCATCCCTGTGAGAGCTACACTGACCCCTATAACTCCATCAACTCGCCTAATAGGCACTTAACCTGTAGCAACAAAGTGCGTGAAATCACTGGCTGAGCTGCCTATGGTTCCCAGAATATTTTTGTTTTGCTCCAGGTATTTTTTGGCTTGTATTGCCCTACCTTACTTCTCCACCTATTAGGTCTTCAAGATAGATGAGTTCCTCTTCATAGCCTTTTATAACACACACCTCCCAGAAATGATATTTCCCACCTCTGTACACAGTGTGCATATCTTATTATAGTTCTTATATCTACCATAATTAGTTGTGTGTGTTTCACTCAGTCCAATGTTGGTATATTGTAGCACTTACTTTGCTTCTTGGACATCCAGCATGCTTCATGGCCCCTGGTAGGCATTCAAAACAAATTTTTGAAATGAGTAAATGAATGAACAAACAAATAATGAAAACTTTTTGTGCCAGAAAAAGCAAATAAAGGCACTCAGGTACATGGCAGTTGTTGAAATCTGAGCTTAGGTATCTGTTAGTAAGAGCTAGGCTTCGTGATTTCTATGCCTCACTGAAGCCATCAGCAAACTTTGTGTAACGTCCTGTGCTGAAGGTTAAGGTGGAAAGCTATGGCAAGAATGTGGAGTGATCCCTGCCCACAAACTGCTGTTCCTTAGAGAGGAGAAAGCATAAAATAAGTAAGGAAGAAAAGCACATGATGAAGTAGTGTTTACAATCCCTTACATAGTTCTTTAGGATTTGGTAAATTCTTTCACAGACACTAGCTCATTTGGTCCTCACAACACAATCCTGTGAGGGGCTAGGACAAGTACCGGATCCCATTTTACATCAGAAGAGACTGACAAAAAAAATGTAAATGACTTGTCTGTGGCTGCACAGCTAATATGAGACAATTCCACCCAGCTTATCTCCAAATCCAGAGCTTGTCATTAACTATAAAATATATGTAAATATATTTAAAATATAAAATATAAATGAGACTTAAGCACATGAGTCACCAAAAAATGGTAAGTCAGAGACCCTTGCCTCTAAAAATGGATTTGAGTGGAATTATAGCTATATTATAATCAATGAAATTTTCTTGACTGCCTATCCTGTTTAATTCCTGGCTTAGGTGCTTGAATACAAAGTGTAAGACAGCCTGCCTACCCTCAAGGTAGCCACACTCTTTTTGGAGTGCAAGATGCTTACATAAAAAGGCAACACAAAAACAGATATGAAATATGAGTAGAATAGGCAATAACCATGGAGGAAAGTGAACATCTAATGAAGGCTCCATCAGGGAAGTTTCCTAGAGGAAGAGGAAGAGGGAGTCAACAGGCAGGTTGACTAGCATGAGTGATTGCAATGTAAAGACCACACCAGCAAAAATGAAAGATTCTTATCCTGAGAGGTAAGGTTGGAGAAATAAGCAGATAGAAGGTAGCAAGTGGAAGAGCTTGAGACCTGGAGGAATGGGAAGGCATTCTACATAGATAAGATATGACGCACACAAGAAATGAACATGTCCAGACATACACAAACAGACAGAGGTATTCCGGGGTAATAAAAACAAATATGGGGAAGGAGAGAAACACTAGGAAAGCCTTAAATGTTGGGAGATTATTTGTGGGAATGCTTATCATTCCCACAAATAATCCTTATCAGAGTTTATCTTCCATTTTTAAAATTTGTTTTAATATACTGACTCTAGAGAGACGGAAGAAAGGAAGGGGAGGGAGGGAGGGAGAGAAAGAGAAATCAGGAGATGCTAACCACGTGAACTACATGGCCAGGGCTATCTTGCATTTTTTTTAAACAGACATACCTGTGAGCTAGGAGGAGCTACCTCTACCAGACTCGTTTACATTTCAAGTGTAAATGTCACATAGTTGATGAGAAATGGTCCCTCTCATTAAGAAGCATTTTTAAAGGTGGAGTTAAGCTATCATTTCTCCTTTTTCCTACCTACTCTTTGATGTCAAAGCTATCAGATCAATGCAATGCCATCATGAAATGAGTGCTATCTTTAAAAAAAAACCAAACAAATACTGAACTTAAAGAAGATCTGAGCTCATCTCCCAGCTCTCCTACACAATAACTTTTGTCCACACAATTTCTTTAAACCCTCTGAGCCTCCAAGTCCCTATCTGAAAATAGGAATGATATCTACTACACAGGATTATGGAAAGGATGAAATAAGATTGTGTGAAAGAGCTTTTGAAATGTGGGAATCTTATTTCAACATTTATTATTTTTATTCTGTCTCTCTGCAATTATGGCTGATTGGACTGGAGTCCATACTGGAATCTGAGATAGTAGGGAAAAATCAGGAAGTTATAATTGCCGGAACCCAAATGCTGCAGTGAGTTCAGAGTGGATGGTAGAAAAATACAAGTGTGAATGTGTGCAGAGGGCAACAGGAACTTATGAAATGGGGCAAAGGAGAAGTTTATTCAAGAGAGATAGCTTTATAAGAACAAGACAAAAATAAGAAGTGCTAGAGATAGATAGAGTACTTAAAAGAACTGAGGAAGATCAGACCATTATCTGTAGTATTCAATCCATGATATTTTGGGAGCATCGACTCTGTGCCACACACCCTTCCAGAGGCTGATTTTCTGCTTACACGTGGGTCAAAATGCCTGCCCTGATCAAGCTCCTTCTAGAATCTACTCCTGCCCACAGCCACTACGACCTCACCATCATCACCCCACCACTACCCTGAGACCTGATCCATACCTGATTGGATCAAAGGTGAGCATCAGACCCGAACTATGACATATTCCCTTTCCAGATAACTGAAATAAGGTTTCATGAAACTGAGTCAGGTGGTAACCATACAGAGAGAAAGCAAACTTTTATTACACTTGTCTGTATTTTATGGGAAATATGCTTCCTCCATAGCTGTGTCATATATATGGTAGACCTTAGACGGAAGAAAATGAACTTCTGTCACTCAAAGCCATGGATCTTTCTGGTTCCTGCACTTGTTTTTTATACTCACCCAAGGACATATTCATTGATTTTAGAGATGGAGGGGAGAGAGAGAGAAAGAGGGAAAGAAACATTGATGTGAGAGAAAAACATCAATTTGTTGCCTCTCATAGGCATCCCAACTGTGGGCCAAACCTGCAACCTAGGCATGTGTCCTGACCAGGAATTGAACCTGCTGTGACTTTTTGGTTCATGGGATGATACTCCAACCAGCTGAGCCATACCAACCAGCACTAGTTCCTACACTTTGTAAAGGCTGACACCTCAACTTTTCCTTGGGGTTGTTGATATCCAAACTTTAAAACATCTTTTGACTTGAGCTGGCTTGGGTCACATAGTGGTTGAATAGTTTCACTTAAAGTTTTACATTCACCCAGAACCTTATTTGGAAATAAGTTCTTTGCGAATGTAATTAGTTAAGCGGTCATACTGGGTAAGGATGGGTGCTAAATCTAAATACTGGTGTCCCTAAAAGAAGAGGAAAGGACACAGAGTGACACACAAGAGGAAGATAGCCATGTGAAGATGGAGGCAGAGATTGGAGTTATTCTGCCACAAGCCAAGGAACACCTGGGGCCACCAGAAGCTGGTAGAGGCAAGGGAGGATTCTTCTGTAGAGCTTTCAGAGGGAGTATGACCCTTGAGCTCATGGTCAACACCTTGATTTCAGACTTCTAGTCTCCAGAACTGTGAGAAAATATATTTTTGTTGTTTTAAGCCACCTAGGTGGGTTTCCATTTCTTGCAAGCAAGCATTTATGACTAGGATGTATTTGTGATGATAGATTGTATTCGAAAAGTCTAGACCAATTGAAACCAGAACCAATAAGTAGAGACAAGGATTGAATCTTTATGGGCATTTCTTTCAGATGCTGGCAATCTGAGAAGATGGCAGGTTATATACCCTAAAAACCATCTGAACATCTCATCTCAAGCCAGCCTTTTTAGAAGAAGAAAGGGTAGGGAAAGAATTTGGAGAAAAGGTTAATCAAATAAGAGTTGCAGCTTGGAGGCAATTTTCCTAGTACTTTATCTGTTGAACAATAATTATTCTTTTTTTTTTTTTGAACAATTCTTTATCTGTTTCCTTCTTGGAATGCAATGGCTCAGGTACCATAACCATGGCTTGCAGACCCCCAATACACAAAGGCTGAATTGCTTTGTCACCCTCCTGGAGTCATGTGGTCACGCATTCTAGTTCCTGGAATAACAGCTTTCCACCTGCATTAATCACTTAAGTCTATCAACTACGACTGATGCTAAAATCTTTAACTCTTAAGTTTCCCTATCACAATT